TTAGATAGGAATGCACTGTCATTGTCTGTAGGAATTGCAGTGTCTTGAGCGAAGTGGTCAAAAAAAGATAAGCGAATCCACCTTTTCCTGGGCTCTGTGTGTCAATTTAAGGGTCATTTTGAGAAGAGCCAACTGCCTCATGAAACAGCACAAGCTTCCCCTAGCAAGAGACTATACAAAATGAAAGACATCCACTGAAGGTGGAATCTATTTTGACTTAGCTGGGTTATATTTTTGATTACTGTTGAAAAATTCCTCAAACAAACCAGATTTTGAACTAGGAACATCTTAATGTTCTATTAGAAATGACTTAATGGGCACTCTGTTACCAAGCTTCAAAGTTTTGGGACACTGTTTTAAAGTCTACAGGGGTCTCTGTATGTTTTAATACTTTTTCTCTGCCTAATCAACCTTATACTAAAAATATGCAATTTCAGCCTCATCTCTGCACTGGGTTTATTTAGACTGCCAACACTGAAGCTCTATAGAATTACCTACTTACCAACAAAAACTGTCCAGAACAGTAATTCATGCTGGACAATTCATGCTGGTCTTCCTCATTCTTAGCTACGCTCAAGAAAACTTTACAAAGATAAGAAAACAGCATGCATTGGAATTGCCCTACAAGATCCTAAAGAAATGGAATAATCTGTATAAACACATCTCCAAGCTGCTATGATTGTGCTAGCGCGATTGTTTTGTTGTTACATAGGAATTTCAAAATGACAATTCTGTAACACATCCACTGCTTATATTAAACAATAGCTGGTGGTGATTGTGGACATATTACATCGAAAATACAGACACTCCTTACATTTCAACCTGGAAATGACCGATGTTTAAGTCATCGCTAAACAATTTAAGAATGACTCTCGGTGTTTATAAAGAGAGGAATAAACATGCTCCATGAAATTACTGCATAGTTATACTGATGTTAAGGTTGCTGGCAGATTTGCATCACACCTTGTGTCATCCTGGTATGACAAATATCTCTTTTCATTAAATGTTACAAAGGGGCACAATAAATGACTGCAGTAATGCCTTTGGCCAATGGGAAAGGGATTCATTTCCTACCACTGCAGACTACTTAGCAAGGATCAGTCACGTTCCCTTTGATTGCTTCCTTCTTTCATACTACATTCACTCTATACAGCCTAACTCAACATGCTGCCTTCAAGCCATATTGAACTTTAGTACTTTGCAACCCCAAGCACTGTAGTCCAAACTTGGATATTCTGGGAATTAAAGTCCAATGTGTTTGAAGAGCACCAGGTTGGGGAGGATCATCTTAGGATATTCAACTAACAGCCTTCAAACTCGGCAATACCTGGACTTCAACTCCCAGAATTCCCCAAGTCTCTAAACTTGCCCAGTTTAGAGACACACCCCCCCCCCCCCCCGTTCTAGTAATAGAAGAAGGATTCTTGTGGGACACTGTTTTAAAGCACAGAGGTTCCTTTGTATAAACATATCTGACTATTTTTTGTTTGGAGTACCATAACATAACTAGCAATAGTTGACTATGTTGACTTAATGTGTGTGTTTGTATTGTACAGGGTGCTTTGAGGTGCATATGGATTTGAAACCGGGCTTTGGGTCTGTCCCTGCATCAGCTACATTTTGTAGGAGCACAAAAAGACCTAAAGATGATCCAAGATCTCCCTTTCCTAGCCGGAAGTCAGAACTGTTCTTGTTTTCATGAAAGAAAAACCCTCAAATTTTCCACAGGCAGCGAAATCCCGTGGCACAGTCCACTCCCAAACTGGTGGCCTCAGGTCAGGAGAACACTGCCCTAACAGGTTGCTTGCATAGAGGAGCTGCTTCGCGGAGCTAATGATGCTCCATTCATGAAAAAAGGAACATGGAAGAAAGGCTGGATGGGTGGAGAAATAGGCACAATAGATTTTAAACCTATGTTGACATGTATTTGGAATTAAGAGCCAACTTTAGCATTTAGTTGATTCAAGGGGAAGGAAGTGGGAGATAGTGGAATGAAGAAGAAAAATTCCACAGGAAACTAGCACAGGGGGGGGGGTGTGTGTTAACCACCTTGAAGGGAACATATTTCTTTCTTTCTCTCCTTTTCTTCTTCTTTCCATTCCCCCTCCCCTTCCTTCCTTCCTTCTTTCCTTCCTTCCTTCCTTCCTTTCCTTCTTCCTTTTTCTTTCTTCTCTCCTTTCCTTTCATTTCCTCTTCCCCATCTCTCCTTCCTTCCTTCACCTGCTTGATGCAAACATGCATTCCTTCTTTTCCATCTTGGAAAGTGCAAGGCTGAGCATTTACCTCCTTATTTGACTAAATGCAAAGACTGTCAAGGCACACACACACACAAGGGCAGACACACAGTAAAAATAAAAGAAAAATGGCACCTTACCAGCACCCAGGCAATCAGGAATGGTTCCTAATGGTGCCAAGTAGTTGTCATAATATATGAAGCAGCACCTTCTAGTTGATCTATTGGGATCTATCTACAAGGGGTGGAATCAATGGATCACTCCTATACCTTTGTGGCCATTATATTTTGCTGTGAAAACAACAGAGGCCGCAGGCCTTCCTCTGTGTCTCTGTTTATGAAAGAATACATAGCAATCATACACTGTCAAGTTTAATGAGTTATCAGAAAACAAAGAGTTTCTAAAGTTTTCATTGATTTCTGGCATCAGAACCCCAAAAGGCCTGACCTATTTTTCAGTTACTCTGGAATTAATGGCAGCCTCAAAAATATCACATGGTGTAGGGCCTCTAGAGAATGAATTGCTCCAACTAGGAGAAAATTAGCTGAAGGCAAAACTTATACTTCTTAATGTGCAAAGAAGGTTTGTTTGTTTTTAAAAAAGGAATTTAGAAAAAACCCAAAACAAAGTTGTAAGTCATTCCTGCACCTGTTATATTTCTGAAGGTGTATCGTAGCCCAGAGCTACTTCTTTTGGTCCTCGAGAAACCAAACTGGATCTGATGTTAGTCAGTGTGGGTGACCCTGGTATAAACATTTTTTTAAAAGATTAAAGGCAGAGAGAGCAGTGTGAACTCTATTGGATCTATTCGAGAGGGCAGAAGACATCCAACTTTCCTGTGAGGTTCATAAGAATCCTCACACTTGGCATTTGAAATGGGAAATCCTTTCTTCCTAAAGTCCAGGTCATAATTCCTTCTGGCACTTTAACAAGCTTAAATATCATAAATGTCAATTCCATTAACCTCCTCCCAGTCTTAATCTGACCTAGGTCATCCCACCCTTCTATTGGTGTTAAAAAAACATGAACACCATGTCAATCTAAGTGAGTGACATCACATCTGGTTTGGATCTGTATTGAAGGCTGTGTTCGGGTTTAATTTCTGTTTAATTTCTTGCATAGTCAGACAGCAGTGAAACAAATTATTCCTTGGCCCCTAGGTGCAAAGGCTGGAACAAGTACAATATGGCCTTGCAATACTATTCTGAACTAGCAGAAATTCAGAAATTTATACCAGTATGTCCAAGGTTTGACTGGGTGCCATGATCACTGTTTCTTAAATCTTAAATGTATGAGTCTCTAGTGTTCTGGATAAGATTGTAAAGCATGCTCTCGCTATCCTGAGGACTCGGTGTGAAACTGCTGAAATTTCCATTCCTTCATTCACAATAAACCAGATGGTTGCAGTATTGCTTAACAGACACCGTAGTCATCTATCTGCTAAATCTTGCAAATGGTGCTCAAGCACACTCTTTGGGAAAAAACGGGTGCACCCAATGTCTCCCAGAGTTGCATTCCACCTTGCGTATCATGGGAGCCACCACAGAGAGCGCCTGGGAAATTGAGTTACAAGAGTTCTCAAAGATGATGGCATCCCTTGATATCTGAGGAACTGAGTTGGTCCCTTCAATGTGTCATCAGGCTTAGCTAGCCCTGGAGCTAATGCAGATTCCTGCCAAGGGAAGGAGATGAGGCTGGTTATACTAGGGCAGCAAAAATCTGCATATGGAAGAGGGTGCCAGCAGGGGAGTAGATTGTGCCCTGAGAACTGATTCAATTTTTTTTTTTTCAGGTACCTACAAATGAAAACGTTGACATTTCTGAAAAGTCTGAATCTAACAACAAAAACAAAAACAAAAAAACACCTCTTCTTGGAAATCGTGTGCTATGTTGCCCCAAGGACCACCAGCACAGGGTGTATCCCATTTTGTTCATGAAAAAAGAAAGATCAACATTGGTTGATGGTATGGATAACCCTTTCTTTTCCCTCAGCAAGGACTGGTGATCTGAGCATTTCACTACTGCTATGTGACGTTTAAATGACGGGTCGTGTAGACGGCGCGTAGCAGAAGATTCTGTACACGTGCCCCGCGGGCGGGGGGGGGGGCGCCGGGGGCG